GGGCGGGCGAGGAGGGCGGGCGAGGAGGGCGGGCGAGGCCGGCTCCGTGCAGGCGCTGTTGAAGCGGCGGACCGCAGCAGTGACGCGCTGCCGAGAACCTGAAGGTCAATTCCTTCTGGCACACAGCAGGCGTTATAACTTGTTCAAAGGAGAAGTGAATGAAATAGGGCCTTTAGGGCTTTGCTTCTGGCTTGGTTTCATCAAACCTAATTAATCCTACTTCCTAGACGTTTCTCACAGACCGCTTTTTACTCCACCCTAGGTGGCAGCAAGGTAGGCCTGGGAGCAAGCCCCTCACCAGTGTGACCTCTGAAGATTCAGTGGCAGGCAGGGGCTGTTCCTACCTGGTCTGTGATAACCTGTAGCCAGCAGGCGGCAATGTGGTGCAGCAAAAGGAAACCCGGGGTTTCCCGTGGCACAGCCCTGCGGGCCGGCCCTGTACTGCTTTGCTGTCCCGGGGTGACCCTCCACCTCTTCCTCGAGAATACCCTGGCTGGGGCTCTGGGCGCTCCTGCTTTCTCTTTTCCCTGCACTCAGATCAGAGCAGGTCCTTTGACGCCTGGAGGCGTCCCCAGTGGGATCCAAAACTGAGCCAGGGATGTGGCTCAGTGGTAGGGTGTTTGTCAAGTGTACACAGACTTTGGGGTCAGCCTTTTTTTGGTATCAGGGATCAAACTCGGGCCCTTGCGCTTGCCAGGCAGGCACTGTTGCTGGGCTATGTCCCCAGCCCAAAACATTGATGAAGCCATAAATAAGAGGCATTTCTCTTTTTTCTTTTCTGGTATCAGGGGTCAAACTCAGGACCTTGAGCTTGCCAGGCAGGTGCTTAAGCCACTGCACTATCTTCCCAGCTCTGGGTTGAGTCTTGAGCTCTGTGAAAGCAAACACAGTCTGGATCATTGCCCTGGTGGATAGGGGTTTTCTGGAAGCACAAATTCTGGGGCCCCACCCAGGTCCGCTGACTCCTATGTAGGTACAAGGGAAAGGGGGCAAAGGTACTGGGGTGATTTATCTAACCTTGTGTTTCATCCCCCTGGCTCCAAGATGGGGTTATAGTCAATCCTGTAACAGGGCTTACTGTATAGAGGAAGCGTTCTGTAAGCATCTGCCAGCAGTTATATGGTAGAGAACATTCTAGAATACTCAACTTGCTGGTCAGTTCAACTGATAACAGGTGGTGCCCAGCTGGAGAAGCCCTGGAATCCACTTGCTGCTTTCTAACAAGACACCTGCTTGGGTCCAGGGAGATGGCTCAGTGGAATAAGCGCTTCCCTGGCAAGCACAAGGGCCTGAGTTCAATCCCCGGTTCCACAAACAACAACAACAACAACAACAAAAAAACACTTGCTCGAGGTGACCCTCACTGTTAAATGCACCACTGTCCCAAGGCTGGGAGTTCTTGTCACATGCCATCAGTGAGGCCTAAGCCTACTGCAGAAATTTTAGCTTCTGTTGAAAAAAATAAGTGGTATCAATATTTATTGATTTGAGAAGGGTTTTTTTTAATGTTTTTTTTTTAATTTTTCAACAAATAATACACTGCATATATTCTTCTTAGTGGTTAATTGCTGTACAAGATGCGGACTTGAGATCCTATTTACAAACACCATTAGAACAAATCATTCTATTCATTAACAGAATGTAACTATATATCTATCCCAACCACTTTGAATACACAGATACAAAATGGACATTCATCTGTATACCCCATTTTTTCTAAGTTCCGTTATTGAATATTATAGGTGTGGAGAAGGGTTTTTATAAGGAGGATTAAATTATTTTTGTGCAGAAAAACTGTTGCTTTTATAATCT